ACCTAGGAATATCTTTTACCCGGAGAACTGTTGTCACCGCTGTATGTTACACCCAGGAACTGAAGCACCTTTCTGACCTCTCTCTCATGCACAGAGGTGAGCACCTTCTCATAATGTCCCACAGCTAAAGGTTCAGCAAGGCCTGGCTGCTGGTTACAACTCCAGCTTGATCCTGAATCCATCTTTGGGCCCTCCTGCCAACCCCCTCGCCATGAAGTGGGGTTTTTAGTGCCTGAAACTTGACATCTGGCGCCCTCTACAGCTTGTACAGTCTTGCTAAAGTGCTCTACCCACCATGAAATCTCACAATTTAGCCGAGGTCCCCCGGAAGACAGGATAAGTGCGACGTGCAAACACGTAGATCCTTCAAATGGCTCGAAGGTTAGCAAGTCTTAATTGTCTGTAAATCTGTAAATTGCGGGAAGTATTTATGCAATGTTGTATCTATCAACACGAACCGTGAAATTAGATTTTCTAATTTCAAACCCAGCTTGAATTACTAAACCAGATTGACTGAGGAATAGTCGGACTTCAGAAAGCAATTTCTCTCTCCGTGATTTACCACTAGATGGCAGCTACACCCCAGGAGAGGGCTGCCTCCTCCCTCACACCCCGCCAGGCTCTGCCCTTAAGTTGGAGTAACACACAATTCAGCCCTAACCGATGGGGGAAAAAAAGGGCAGGTCCTAGTAAGATTGGCCCAGGACAGCTCCCTCTTGAAAAAAAAAAAAAAAGAAGAAAGAAGGAAGGAAGGAAGGAAGGAAGGGAGGGAGGGAGGGAGGGAGGGAGGGAGGGAGGGAGGGAGGAAGGGAGGAAAGGGAGAGGAGAGGAGAGAAGAAAGAAAGAGAAAGAAAAAAAGAAAGAGAAAGAGAAAGAAAGAAGGAAAGAGAAAGAAAGAAAAAGAAAGGAAACGAAACGAAAAGAGAAAAGAAGAAAAGAAAAGAAAAAGATGGTCCCCATCCTGCCCTTCCACCTCTTTTCTTACAAGCTCTATGGATGGTTTGTTCTTCTTGTCCCCAGAGGACTTCCCCCAATGATAAAATTGCCTTGGCCGCCTTTTAGCTCCTTTTCCCCAAGGCAGGGCCCAGCTGGCTGCTGTCTCACACCATCTGCTCCATTAACTGTGCTGAGGAGAAGGGGCCTCCTCCCCCACCCCCCACCCCCAGTGTTCCTCCAGGAACTTAAGACATCTTGAGAATTGTCAGGTGTGGAGAGTGCCAGGTAGAAGAAGAGGGACAGACTGGAATAAGGGAGGGGAGAAGGGGAGAACGTGTTTAAATAGAGACATGGGAGCTGGGGAACAACCCCACACACACACCCACATACCCACACACACACCCTGGACATATTTCCCAAGAGTTTGGTTTTGTTTTGTTTTTAAATGGTGATGGTCTGCCATTGTGGGTATTATACTACAGTGTACAGATAACAACAGAGCAAGGTGAAAAGCAAGGATGTGAAAATGTGTGCCTCTTTCTCCCTATGGTCAGCCATGCTACCCTACCCTTGCTAGCCTCAACCCCAAGTTCCCATGCACTCTGACTTGGCAATGGGTAACAAGGCTTTATGAAAATCCCGAGCCTGCTCTGAAGAGAGATCAGAATGTCTAGCAAGGGCCTGTGTCTTAAGTCTGTATTCCTGAGGGGTGGGGAGTGGGAGAAATGATCCCTGCATTCCAGCCTTGGTCTCAGCGGCCTGTCGCAGTACTACAGCAGAGAATCCTGCAGCTCTACCCCCATGTCACAGACTACTGTGAGGACCAAATGACATCCAGACACTGCCAGGTACCTTGCTGACCATCATGGAGTTGTGCAGCTCTTCCAGACTAAGACATCGTAGGAGAATCCGAAACCTTAGTGGAATTTGAGACACACTCTTGCAGAGTGGAGGAAAACATTAAATGACTCAAGAGGACGGACATACTCAGCCAAGAATAGAATGTGGGGGGAAATGATGAATGTTTGATGTAATGTACATGCCAAATAGGTCAATTTAAACATCCTATTAAATATGTGTACTTCAAAACATTGTATTTTACAAGGTAGGTATATACACTTTTTTAATTTTGGAAAAATAAATTATTTGAATTTGAAAGGAAAAATATCATGATGTGAGAAGTCTCTTAAGTCAAAAGACCTGGTATCCTTCATAAATAAAAAGCAGGGGCAGGAAAAAGAAAAAGAGAGAAAGGAGAGAGATTTTTCGGGACACTGGGTACCAAGAGCGGCAGTGGTATGCTGTTTGAACCCTTTCAGAAGAAACTGACTGTAAGAAGGTGACAGTCATAGAAACCTGAGTGCTAAGTAGACAGGTAATGAAGGAATATTTCATTTCCAGTGGATTTGCGGTTATGGGTTTTTAAAGCAGAAAAAGAAATGAGGGATGCTTTGACTCCTGTGATATAAAAACATCACTACTGCTTTAACAATGCTCAGAAGAGATGAGTTAAATATGTTTAAATTTCTAAAAAAGTGTACGAAGGAAACATTTTTAAAAAGAGTGAGCATTGATCATTGTTACTTTTGCATTGTGGGTACATACAGTGGTAAATCAGGCAACTTTTCCTATTTTGTATGTTGACAATGTTTCCTAATAGTTGTTTGTTTTAATTGAGGAAAAGCCCTCGAAGGAACTCAAGAGATTGTTAGAAAGAGTGGAGAAGACATAGTTACCAAGTGTGATAAGACAAAAGAGCAACTATGAAGGACCTGAGGAGGGAGTCGCCAGGAGAGGTGAGGCCAGTCTTAGTCAACTAAATGAAGACGAGCAGTAAGAACAAGAACATCCCAGAAGGAGCAAGTCCTTCTCCACAAGCAGAGACTCTCAGAGGCTTTGAACCCTTCACTGGGCTTCACTAAAGAAACCAATTTATCTGAGTTTGTTTAGAGTGTTCCTACTTTTAGCTCTGAAAATTTCACATTGGGAAACCCACCCATCTCCAAGCATGGGGGGTTGGTCACCCCAGCATCCCACTGTTACATGGAAAATTGAACTGACCAGGAAAAAGGCAGCAGAGCTTAGCTGGAGAAATTATGAGCTACATGCTTAGCAACGACTCTGAAAACGAGGCCATTGCCAAGAACTGTTTACTTCCACATCAAACAGCAACAGCAACCTCATCACCTCAAGACACCGTGAAGCCTAAGGCTCGAGAGCAAGCTGGCTTCTCACCTCCGCTGTTCTGCTAGAGGGAGCCTGCAGATGCCGTGGCTGCTGTCCGAGCCTGACCTCTAATTTCAACTACTTCATGTCTATATTCCACACGCGTACTCACTTGCATATATTAAGAACACGCATTTCACATGTATCTTTAGGCAATTGCAATATGCATCTTCTCATTTATTGCCTATAAAAACTTCATGGTGGGAGTGAGATGGCTCAGTAGGTAAAGGGGCTTACCACCAAGCCAGAAACCAAGGCGGTTGGCCCGAGTGGTGGAAAAACAAACAAAAAACAAAAACCTACTCCCAACTCTGGCAAGTCGTCCTTTGATCACCCCCACCACCCCACAAACATACACATGTCCTCACACCTGCTATACACACAAAACAAATAAATGGGTCAGTTAACAAACTAAGGCTTAGAGAACTAATTTGTGCAAGGCCAAGCAGAGAAGAGCAATATACCTCATTATCTGCCACATGGGGTTTTGTACTAAATAGTGGATTATTGTATATGTAAAAATTCTCGGAATAATGACTAGTATAGAAGAAACTATGGATTAGGGATTGATTTATTGATGGTTAGTTAAGTACCACGTAGCCACACCCTGCAGGGGGAGAAGAAAGCATAGAAATCTGGATTTAAAGAAAAATAGCTTCCTATCTGCATTGAAGAACAATTTTATCTCAGGGCTCCTTAGCACTTGATACCTCCAGTTTTATAAGCTGAATGGAGCATAAAGAGGCACCCACATCAGAGAAGTAACATCCACAAAATCCTTCAAAGTCAAACTCCCTGAGGGAGCCCTTGCCACTTACCTGTCCTTCCTTGACTCCCTATCTAGACTGTCAGCGTCTGTGGAGGAGCCAAGCATTTCTCACAGAACCAACCCTCTCCCTGCCAGGCTTTGCCCAACTAGAAATCCTCCCATCTTTCCAAGTCGAGGAAACCAAACGCTTGAGATGGAAGAGTCCATGGCTTTGACTTGACTATCCTTAAACTTCCCTGGTGATTCTTGGAAAAGCCTTTTTACACTCCGCAGAGGAAGCCTCCGATGTACCATTGCTAGCAGCAAGGTCCCCCTCCTGCCTCACTGCCCCACTAGCAGCGGCTCCCATGCCCTCTGAATAGTTGGAAGGACAGCCATCAGTCCGGCCATCAGAATCCTGTTGATCACAGGATACCCAACAATATCTTGAGAACTGGCAGCCCAACAGCTCACACAGGCTTCCCCCCAGCACAGGCTGATGGAGTTATACAGTGAAAGCCTTTCTGACACTTGCCACGACATGTATATGACATGTATATGACATATATATATGTATGTATGTATATCACTTCATGATTATAACTGTCATCTCACAAAAACGGGGCACTATTGAGCCAGATGGAAGAAGCAAGAGGGAGCTTTTTCTACACACACACCCACAGAGAGATATTTGGGCTCCTGGCATTTTGTAATGAAGGGCTTCCATCATGATTGAGGGTAACCTACCACCATCACCTCACGTCTCCTTCAACCCAGAACCTCAAGGCCTGCTGAGCCTAGGTCAGGAGCCGCCCTACCCAGCCACTGCCAGCCCAGCCAAACACACACTTCTACTGAAACTCGAAGGCGCACTGCAGAAAAGCTTCATTAATTTTTCACAAGATTTGTCTAATCGTGGCTGAGCAGAGCTGAGAAAGCCACATTGGAGCACCTGTGCCAGCAGCTTGCAAAGAGTTAACCCATTAGGCCATTTCCTGGTGAGCTCATCCCTGCTGGAGCCTCTCAGTGGCTGTGATTTGCAGCACACTGACTCTGATGTGGCCAGGGTGGCTTTCTCCAGCTGGGATGAAGGACTTGAGCAGAAACTCACTGCCAGCTTCCTCCCTGCGAGAGCGCCGACTGAGTCCCAGGTCCCCATCTTCCCCCGGGACATTGAGCACGGTAAGGAAAAGACACCCCACCCCCTTCCAACCCTTCGCTGTCTCTCCCTGAAAGAAGGGAGGTTTGAAGTTTGCTTTGGAGTATGCTGAGTCTCTGAAGTGGAGTTGGAAGGCAGTGTGAATGTCTGAGATGAGACAGGATGAAGTTGGCTGCATTTTTGGACTGCCCCAAAAGACAGGCAGGAGTGGGGTGAGCTGGGTCCCTCTGAGAAAAGATACCATGCGCAGTGAGGGCTGCCCTGCTTGTGAACTCCTAGCCTTCCATCCTTGGAAGCCATTAAAAGGAAGGAATGAGCAGGGACCCTCTGCCCTGGCAGCAGCAAAAAAAAAAATAAAAAATAAAAAATCATCAAATTGTCAAATACAAGGACAACCACAGACCCCAGAGTACTGGGCACAGACTGTCCCCTGGACGTCCTACATCCAACCTCAGCAGCTGCAGGTCTTTCCCTTCCTGCAGGTGTGGCCGACACCCTGGGCGGGTGCCAGGGAAACAAGGTAGCATACCCCCGCCTTGGGCGTCTTCATTTCAGAAAGGAGGGAGCAAGACAGGTACATAAAAACACAGACAAAGGCATGGCTTGCTCAGGCAGTTGAGGGCCGTGGGGACTCCGCCTCTCAGGAAGGCCAAACGTAACCACACATTGTATCCCCTGAGCTGTTTTCCTAGCCTGCAGCTCCACAGGGCCCGGGAACTACTTGTGTGACCCGGAGAGGAAGGTGAGTGGAGCTCTGACCTTAGAAAAGAAGGCCCCTTCCTGGGAGTGCTGCGGTCTGGGCACAGATGGTGGCGACGACAGCAGCATATTCCATAGTTTCTAATCTCTTCTTTATCAGGCCGGGCACAGGGCCACACACACCTTATCAGGGTGCTGAGTAGACATCACCAAATGCACTCCTTGAAGTGGGGCAGTACAGCCAGGAGAGGTAAAGACCCTAGGGGTGCGCATCGGGCCGCTGACGCTGAGCAGGGTGAAGTGGGAAATTCAGGGAGAGAGAGACCTTCTTCCCACCCGTATCCGGTCCTGCCCCGGGATATGAGACCATTGCCATTCCGCTAGGCAAAGCCTGTGGCCTGCCTTTCACTCTGCACCGGTCTACCGGCTGGGCCGGCTGCCCCACTCTGAGGTCATCTGTGCCCTCTTCTCTTCTCCCCGTCACCAGGTCCTTGCAATTCCCAGAATAGCCTGGTTCCTATCAGAGCTCTCTCTAGGTAGAAGGGCCTGGGGAGGAGGGACGGAGGAGTCAGATAACTCCAGGCCTGAGTGCAGCAACACAGTGGGGCCTTTTTTAATATTAAGGCTGCTCAATGTGTTTTACATGGGGCACCCAGTTCCACTAGAATTTTTTTTAAATGATGTGCCGCAATTCAAGTGTCCTCCCTTCTCACTATTCTCTCAATTTGAAAATGGAAAACAAAACTACCACCCAGAAGGCAGGAGCAACCTGAACCTGGGCTCTGGAGCCACAGGCATCCAAACTCACATTGCCACCTTGTCTTCATATTCACCTAATTGCCCAACACTCCGATTTTCAGTAAGAAATCGGGGATGGGTAGTTGCCTCTCCCTCGGTGACTTGCTTGAAGGACTCGGTAAAGCAAAAGTGCACAGCCCTGTCATGTAACGAAAGGGGGTGAAGGGAAATTAATATTAGTGACGACATGGAGGCTCGTTCGGCTCTTGGCTAACAGGACAGTCTTTGAGGTTGAGAGCCTTGGTTAGAGATAAGAAGGGCGGCCAAGGGATGTAGGTCTGTTCTACCTCCCACCTCCAGTCCACAGCTGCCTCTCAACTGCCACTGCATCAGCTGCTCTAAGATGGGAGGAGATGGTTCACAACAGACACCTGGGAAGGAACAGGGCTGGGGACCTAGTGTTCTGCCCAGTTCACGAACCCCAAAAGACCAGGAATAAATAGACTCCGCCGTAAATACATGAGGTTCTTTTTATTATAAATCATTACAAGCTGCAGCTTGGGCTCACACCCCCCACCGCCTAATCGGTGAGAGCCGAGCACCCCAGGTTGCTTAGGTTAGTTGGGTGATTTAAAGATTCTGGTCCCTCCCATGCCCAAAGCAGGGGTGATTCCTGCCTGGCAAGCATCTATTGGTTAAAATGCTACATTTTGAATTGATTGGCTATAGGAAGGTCCCCAGATCATTATTGATCTGGTGTCCCTCCCTAGGGGAATGGGCCAGTTTCCTAGCAACTGTACCTCTAGTAGGTGGGGAAAGAATACAATAAGGCGGGTTCTTCCCCTTAGGGCATTATTGGACTTCTCCACCCACCTAGTTCAGGCCTTAAATATTAACAATAGCTGCTGATTTTTAATCTTCTGGTCTCTCACTAGCAATACAAGGCCAGCCATGTTTCCGCCCTCAATGGCTTCAACCAAACCTAGAAAGAAAACCAATCTCCGAGTAAACTGCTTGGCAGACACCAGCAAAGCCCTATCTCTCCTGCCCTATCTGCCAAAACTCCTTCATTTATTTAACCAATGCTAGACAGCACAGGAAGTTGAGGAGAAAAACTTGCTCCAGCCCCAAGGGACTCGGGAAAGAAAGAGCTAGCTTCTGGAACCACAAGAATGGTTGATGATTCATTTATTCTCCTTACAATTCCTCCCATTAAGTATATCTCAGGCACCTTGGACTCTACAGCAGGAAAAACATATTCAGCCCATGTTATCTTGGCCCCTCAATATCACCCTCACCCTGAAGATCTTCAGCACCAAGCCATTCGGCTGGAGGATCAAAATGTGAAGGTGTGAGGAAAAAGCCAAAACTTCCCTTTCAAAGACACCAGTTCTCTCCATTTCACTGAGGCATCTTTGTGTCCCCAGGTACCTCTTCCCCTCAGGCCAGAAGCAGGGAGGAGCTGACTAGAAGGTGCACTTCCCCAGGGAGCGCCCTCTCAGCAACTTCTAGTTGCTTCCTTCACACCCCTGCTGCACTGTTCTGAGCACTGTTAGCTTAGCAGGTTCTCAGCTACTTCTGAAACATCATAGAAATGGAAATGCCCAGCATTTGTGTTCTTTTGTTACTGATCTCTCTTGCCAGCGTGTCTTTGAGACTCATGCACAGCCTTCTGTGTTTCAGAAGATAAACCATTCCACTGTGTAAATACGCCCAATTTATTCTCCTCCCCCAAGGTAAAGCCTCTATGAATATTCTTATACATGAGTTAGTTTGTTTGCATATGTGCTTAATTTTTAGGAGTTTGAACGTCTAGGTCAAGGGACGGGTGTGTGTTTAACATCATGAGATTCTTAGACTGCACAATAGTGCTGGAGAGCTGGGGTTGGTCCATCCACCATGTGACGAATGTCATGTTGGAAGATTTAGACATTCTAGTGAGTGTGTGGTGGCGTCTCCTTGGGGGGTGTTTTGCACTGCCCTGCGGCACGTCAGTGTCAATCACTTTTCCATGGGTGTTTTCGTTCACTTGTTGTCTTGCAGTGGATCTGAGAATACCTTACCAATTTTAATTATTCAAAAGAGACAGATCCCTAGAATATAGTGCGCACACCTGCTACCTTCAGCCACACTTCCGCCTCTCCACACTTGGGAGGAGATGACCCGACTTGGTCTCCTCAGAGGAGAAAGCAGAAGTTTTTAAAGCCAGTGGCAACTTCTTAACTCCATGTCTAGCAGACTCTAGAAAAAAAAAAAGTGACTCTCCACTCAGAGACCATTTGAATAACTCTAGCCTCCATGTGTAGTGGCTGATGTAAGGAGCAGTCGCATAAATCTTTGTGGAATCTTCTTTATGAACAATAACCCAGGTTGTGAGGAGGCAGAAGCAAGCAAATCTCCATAAGTTTGAGGCCAGCCTGGTCTATATGGTGAGTTCCCACCAAGCTAGAGCTACATAGTGAGACCCTGTTTCAAAAAAAGAAAGACAGAAGGAGAGGCAGGGAGAGAGGGAAGGCTGAAGGGAGAAAGGGAGATATATACACAGAGAGAGAGGAGATATAGAGACAGAGAGAGAGGGACAAAGAAAGACAGACAGACAGTGAACAATGTCCCAGGGCCAACATGATGACTCAAGGGGTAAAGATGCTTGTCATGTAGTCTGACAACCTGCATTCTGTCCAGGGACCCACATGGTGGAGAACTAGAACCTACTTCCATAAGCTGACTTCAACACATTAGCTGTGGCAGTCCACGCCCACATAGACACATGTGAAAATAATAATAACAACAACAATGACCCACCTACTACCTCCAAAAGAAACGATCGTCTCTCAGTGATGGCAGAGGCTTTCAGAACATTCCCCAAATGTCCCTAAGCCACAGACACCCCCTTTCTAATTCCTTCCCTGGGTATCTTCCGAACTTCAGAGTCCCTCACAAATAAATTCCTCAACTCTTTCAATCTCCCCACAATACTGGGTCATTCCTTTGACTTGAATTAAATATGAACTAACAGAGCCACTGTCTGCCATACATGCTCTTCCTCAGAGCCTCCCCGGAGAGGAATGCTCCTTCCTTCACTCAGAAACCCCAAGAAACACTTTCAGCTCCCCAACTCTCAGGCTGAGAGCTCTCAGGCTCAGCTTTATCACCCTCATAATAAAAACCTCCTTCCATTTGGGAATCATGGTACATCTGTCGTAGGGCCTCCAGAGTTTATGGTTCAAGGCCACTGACTTAAATTTGAGTCTCAGAAAAACAATAAGCACTGTGACAATACAAGCTCCGTGTGCATAGTTTGTACTTTGAAAAATACCTGTTGCTTCTATCGAGTTAAAATCCAACCGAACGCCATGTCTTTAATCTGGCAACAGTGTGTGTATTCCACCTGTCTCTGTCAGCTGTGATCGCCCAGCTAAACCCTGTTTTTCCTAAACACTTTTCACTTGGGCTCATGGTTACTGTTTCATCATGCTGTGCTATTCACTCTTTAATAAGCTTCTACTCCTTCCATCTCCATGGCTACAACCAAACACCACACTGGCTGTCCCCCACCTGAACTGCTTGCGAGATTCCGTAATTACTC